GACCTGTTCTTGTGTTATCTGTCATGGCGGAGACAGTACGGTTATTGTAAACATATTAGTGTATTTAACCGTTTAGAAGCTTAACAACTTCATCAGAAGTCAAAGTTCATTAGAAACAAAACTCTTAGAAGTAAAATTTTAGTCATTATTTTGTCTGACAATTTTATTTGCTCCATTGCAGTACTGCATTTACCATTGTGCGCTTAAGCAAGGTGTCCTGTTGGCGGAGAGGGGCATTTTCTTGGATATATATATATATATATATATATATATATATATATATATATATATATATATATATATATATATATATATATATATTATAACTACCTGTGTAGGCCTACCGGGCCTACCTCCTTCTAGCACATGGTCTCATTTGTCCTAAACCAGCACTGCTCTGTTGGAGGATATCGGTTCACTTGGTAGCCGGAACGTCTTAGTTACACACCAGTCCCAGTCGTACCACTGAGTGTAACGTCTATCCCAGTCGTACCACTGAGTGTAACGTCTGTCCCAGTCGTACCACTGAGTGTAACGTCTATCCTAATTGGTGTAATGAAAATTGCGCGACATTATGACATACAAACTCTTACACATGTACAGACTCACATTACGCTGAAAAGCTGGAGGTTATTTATTTAACCAAAAACAAAAAAAAGGGAAAAGAAATAGAAACTATGGAAAAATACCCCCTCCCTTGGAGTAAGAAAATATTTCTGAGTGCCAAATATATTATCTCCCACGATTCCGTTTACGTACACAATATCAGGTTAGATAGGTTAGACTTATTTGTTTACAGGATATTTGTCACCGAAGGAGAGCGGGTCCTAGACCAGAAAGTGTTCCCCTCAAAGGAGAGTATCTGAGAAATGATTTTATCAAAGGATAGCCGTTTATTCCACACCAACATTTATCCTGAATAAAACGTAGATCGGTTCGTTTTGGCGTGTGACTGAACCGTAATCCGATCTGTCTAAGAAACTGCTAACAACTTTTTAAGATAATATAAGTCGATAAGATAAAATAAAAAACGGATTATTATGCACCTGCGACTGCCGTCCGAAGGAGCAAGGTATTACTTTCATCCAATTGTATGATGGCTAGGAGTCAGTAATCTTGTAGCCATATGATTCGCAAAATGTGATTGGTCAATTGAGTCTTTATATCTGTCAATCAAACTCTTCTTACACCCTTTTGAATAGAAGCACGTGCCAGGGATAGTTTCAAGTTACGAGGTAAATCTGTGGGAAAACCACACCTCTTGGCTATCCAGGTAAACGGTAAGATTACTTTGTAAACAAGACGACCAGATAAGCAGATGATGGGACAATGCTTTTCAAATCATAAGTGCACAGTCCCGCGACCTATTTATCTCCACTTGTATACTGGAATGTGGGAAGGCATTGTTCGAAGTCGTGGGAAAACGTTAAAGACTCGATGAATTGGAACTGAACGTTACGTGAACGGCGCAAGTAAATTGTGCGACAACTCAAATATACCTGTTGCATCTGTTTCCGGTATGGGGCCCATTTAAAAAAAGTGGGGGAAAATATGAACATCAAAACGCTCGAGGATGCAGTGGGAATTTATGTAAACAAATGTTAACTGCGCAAGTTAAATTCGACAGGTTAACAGCTGGAGACTTTCTATTCCAATTCCGTTGCAAATTACACAATGAAATGTTTATAAAAATTATTTAATTGATCAGTGGGCGAAGAGTTTTAGGTAATGCCAAAATCAGATACCATTTCTTGCCGAAATAATACTGATTGATTTTGAAGCAATTTTTGACCTGTTTTTGACGTTATTGGTCTAATTAAGTATAAAATTGCTTATGACGAAGGGTAAACCATCGCTGGAGGGAGTCCACAGTTTCCAAGTAGTTTTAAAATGGCAGCGAAAGAAGTAAATAGGTTCGATGACGAGGGAGGTTCAAGCCTGCAACGTAACTTATAATCTGTATCCTCTGTACTTGCCCCGTGGATGGGAGGGAATAAAGCATGCTGTTCTCCTTTACGGCTAATGGCGGCGACCTGGGATGGCGTTTTTTTTTTTAAATAGGTTTTTACTTTGCTACAGAGAACATATTTTTTATATCAGTGGCAAAACTCAACCCACGTGTCCCAAATATCAGTTATGCGAAGAACTATCCCCGTTGAAATAAGGTCAGTGAAATATTATGAAAATTTCAGATGACATTAAAAAAAATTATAACGGCACCCTCTAGACTGTAAACCGGAGACAATTGCTACATAACTCCCACACACTCCTGTTGCCGCTACAGTGGTTTCGGAGCTAGAGTTAAATCGCTGGTACCATAAGTTTGTTCTCGTCAAAGTCTGCGGTTCTTTGTGACAGATTTTATGCCCCAAACTCCGTCAAGCTTCCAGTGAACTTGTAAATAGGTGATGATTTACATCTTTTCAGGACCACTTCAGTAGCTTAGTGGTTAAAGTGTCCTCGGATATAGGAGTCGCGGGTTCAAATCGAGGCGAGTCATGTCACACACTTAAGAGAATGTAACTAACAGCTGCCTCGCTAGGCGCTCAGCATTAAGAGTTTAGTGCAAGGAATGGTCGGCATGGTGTCAAAGTGACTGGCAACATATTGCTGCATGTCTGCGTCATGATGCCCCAGTGCTACCTACACCTCACTGTAAACTGCCACACTGTATATATCATAACAATACGACTGAAAAATGTTCAAAGCTACATTAAAAGTTCAAAACGCGCGCGCGCAGACACACACATACACACACGTGCATCTTTTCCAGCGACAGTTGTTTGATCAATAGGTACCGTTACGTCGTTATGGGTCGACCTATGGTGGTCCACAGATCCTGATACGTATTATGGGTTCATAGGTACCGTTACATCTTAGAGTTGACATACGGCGATGCGTTATTCTGAGAGAATTTATTTTTACAAACGATTTCGTTAGGGCATTGCAAACGCTTTCGTTAGGGCATGCCCATTTATGATATGCTTACTGTCAATCTCCACTGCATTCGAAAATTTCAAATGTGCTTTGCATCTTGATTCGTAATGTAATTAAGTCTAACGGAACAACATCGGAAAATTTTGCAATAACTGTATTGTTTAATTACTGGGCATCGTTTCATACAAATATAAAGGAGTCAACTTGCGATAACATTAACAAGTCCAATTGCACGTCTGATGCAAGTGTTCGAATTTAGTCTGTTATTATGTTAAATATTTGCAATACAAATAATTAAACATGAAATCACTCGGAATTATTTTTTGACTTTCTGCACGCTAAAAATATAAAAAAAAAATAAAAAAAATAAAGAGAACACAGGTACTATTGTCTGTCAACCATTTTTAAAAAAATATTTTGAGAGCCACCAAAAACTCAATTACATTAGTTGTAGAATACCAAAATAGAGTGTTTGTGACTGCAGTTGGGCTTCGTGTACTTTGCATAATTTTCATTTTTAGATTTTAGAGGTAATCCAGCCGATGCGCTGATATTCAAACAGTACGGATTTCCTCTACCCTATAAATCCAATTAAGCTTACCAATCAGAAAACAAAATACTCCACGCCTTAAAGAATATCACACTTACTAAAAAAATGAATTCCTGTTTCAGTCGTCTTTTTCGACCTATTTAAAAGCCATTTGCCACTATTGTTTTCTTAGAGTTTCGTTTCTCCAAACGAAGCAATGAATTAAATATAACGCAGCTTTGAACTTGAACAAGACCCCTACTGATTTTGAAATACGAATCTACAGTGCCATAGTTGGTGGATGCAGGTCTCGGATTCGAATGGTATGGTACTTGCAAGGCGCTCAGCCTTAAACGGTGTTATGACTGGTCGGCCTGGAGGGACATAATGCAACCTTGCTAGATATCACTATCTAGAAAGTGACACATCGCAAATATTGTAGCGATAGGACAAGAAAATTGTTAAAGCTACTTTAAAAATCAAAATCAACCTTTCATTTCAAAAGTTTGTTTGAGAAAGTAGTGAATCTTTTTTTTTTTTCTGCTGGTCGCTGCGAAGTCGTAATTGCGAAATATTCCGATTGATTATTTGATAATAAAACAATTACACCTTGGTTATTGTAACAAGGTATTAATAAGTTGTGAAGTGTTCATTTGTGAATCGTACCAATTTTGTTACGGAGGAGTTAACTGTAAACCTTGCAACCAGTTATTCTGTAGCGAGGCAACTTTTCATAAAAGCGAACAGTTTTAACCATGCCAGTATAACGTTAATTCGTAGCTTGCTACTGCCACCATTCCCTTCTCTCCAAATAGAACGCTAGATTTTTTTTTTGAATTTAAATTTTGAACATAAAAACACATTTGTTTTTACCCCTTATTTTGATATACAAATTAAGGGAAAGTTTAGTTGCAATGTAGTCGCCGAGACTTGTAGGTATTTCTGAAAACTCGGTTTAGTGTGGCAGCTGACTATTGTGACCTTTAAATTAGCCAATGGAAATGCCGCTTTTAAAAATCGGAGTGATTAAAATCGTTCAGCAAACAGTGATGCTCTTCAATATACAAAATATACAAAACTTCATCTGATTGGAAGATAAAATTATTTAGTATACTAATATCATTTATCACCAGAACTTCATCCTTAAGCGGTCGCTGTCAGATATTCACGTCCGGGTAGAGCTGATTTTAATCAAATTGGTTTAGGGTGGCAACTGAGTATAGTGATTTAATACTTTGCACGACTATTTTGTGTGGCAAATGACTATGTTATGTAATTCGATACTTTACAAGACTATTTTGTGTGGCAACCGTAAGGACTAAAATTATTTCCACTGTCGATTATAAGTGCTTTTATTGACCAATTAGTGGTACGTATTCTTTGCAGCTTGAAATTGTGTTGATATGTTCTGAATGAGATAATAGTCTATATCAACCAGGCAAATACTTAAATATAATATTTTGCTTAAGTATATGAAATACACAGTCCTTCTGATATTTATTTATGTATGTTGATTTTAAATAAAGGTTCGAACTCCGGTGTGGTCTAGTGGTTAGGATTTCTGGTTTTCACCCAGACGGCCCGGGTTCGATCCCCGGCACCGGAATTGTTTTATTTTTCCTTTTTATGTTTTCTCGATTTTTTTTCCTGTGGATATACACAATTTGTATATAATGGATAATTCAATATAAATAATTTCTTCAGCGTTTCCATTTACATTTGCCTAATTTTAGAAGTAGTTGCCCAAAATAAACTGGAAAGATGCTGTTGACTTTTCAATTGCACCCTTCACTTTCTTCAAATTCCAATATTACATAGATAAATAAATAAAACTGCGGTCTAGGTCAAATCGGCAGATCATGTCTATGAGTGTGCTGACGCGACGTTAAACATTATACACGCACGCCATCATAAACACGGAGACGGAATAGACAGACCAGTTTCGTGCACTTGCTAACATGAAGGACGTGATCTTTAAGAGGAAATTGAGTCCAATCTTGAGTTGATCCCAGGGTACGCGATCCAAAAGTTATCTTTTTTGCGATGCAGTTTGAATTTACAAAACATATGTTGATAGTAAATAATTACGAGATATACTATAGGATTAAATGATCATAGTTGGGTATTTATATATTATGGATGTGTACATTTTACCTAATCACTTCCGAAGTAATTAAAGTCCAAAGGACTTTATGCAAACTTTGTGAGTGATTAGGTCACATTTATACCTCAGTAAATAAATAACTAGCCATGATCTTTTAATCCTTACTATTCCAATTTACTTTTTTTTAACATAAACAACAAAACAGTCCCTTTTATATACATAGAAGTTTTCTTTCATTAGCCTCTTAACTGCGATAGAATACATAGCCCTATCTTCGTATGCCAATAGTCTTCGATTCTTTATACAGGGATACGGGGTAATTTGTTATAGCGGGTCATGCCGGTGCTATATTGTCCCGACAGCTATTTTAATATATAAGAAATGGTTGTAGCGGTTAAATCAGGATTATTCCTTTTTTGAAATTTACTCTTGCGATACCACGTGTTGTTATAGCAACGTCGTTGTTACTTTCTGCGCATTTCGAGCTTTCAAAAACAAAATCGTGTTCATTTTTAGAGAGATTTCCTTGGTTGACGTATGACCCTGACCTTTAATAACCACTGCTGTAACATATTGTCGAGGTGAAATGCAATAATTTCCGAAGATTGGCTTCTAAAGCCTGCCGTATGCCTTATTTGGCAAAAGAGCTGTGTTGGAGTGCATGAAGGTATCTGCAATTCTGCAATTACATTGTTTTAACTTTTAATGGTCAATTGTAATATGTGGCTTGTCATTTTTGATCGGAAATCACAGAAGTGGGTGGGTGGGAGCTTGTTACTATTATTAGGTTGTCAGGCTTTAATATATAGAAAACTTCACATCAAATGATCTGGAAACAAGGAATCAAACGTAGTCCCATGAATTTATCGATGTGTTTAAAAGTCCAGATCAGTATCACGCGACCGTTACAGCCAATCAAAACGTAGAAAACGCAGTCAATTCATACAAATTGGAATTATTTCTCTATAATTATTTATTCACGAAAGAAAAACAACTTGCACGTTAAACATTCTTTCAATTAATTCATACACACATACGAGCCCTCATGCTCATACATATATGCAACTTAGGTATATAAAAACCAGGATGTTGATGTAAAAGAAAAACCGGAAAATAGTTAGAACATGAAGGTTTAATAATCTCAGGCCCGAAAAGAGTTACTTAGAACACACTCCCTACCCCCATCCCAATCATAATCTTAAAGTGAAGATGTGTTTTTAAAAAAATGAGTGACACGAAAATTTAGTCCAACATTTTTATAGTGAGGGAAAGGGGTTACATCGAAATACATGCAGAAATATTTCCTGTGGTTTATGAAAAACAAAACATCAACTCATTTGTTACTACAGATTTTACAACCAAAGAGCACATATAGCATACAAATTTATCAATATATTCATTTATTAGTTTTGATTGTTGCTGGGGTGGGGGTCCTTATTAATACTGTCAACTTGTTGATATTTCTCCCATATACTTTTAAGAATGTCTTTATCAATCTGGATTGATAATCTGCGTTCAGTTGAGTCAAACACTTCATTTGTTCGTGCCATAAAATTATCTAAAAAAAGTTTTAAAAATGATCCTGGAAATCTTGCCAATTATACATGTAGATGACATTCGCGTTTTATTTTATATTTATTCTCCAATAAAAGAAATTGACATTCAAAAAGGGATCGACCATTAATTATTTTTGCATAGGGGTTTGGTGGCTAGGAGTGGATCTGTGATAGAGATTTAGAAAACAAATCTACTTGTTTTAAAAAGTATTATTGTTCTAATTTGTAGTGGGAGAGAGAATAATTATCTTGTTAAAGAAAAAAAATGGTATTAAGTCCTAAATGTCCACATAAGCTCCAACTACCAGTTCATATTAAATTTCCTTATCAAAACTTGACAGACTTAAGACCCATATAGGTCGATAGAGAGTGGATAAAATCTAGGCATCTAGGCATCATACGAGGAATTACCTGGGTCAGAATGTTTCCCTTTTGCATATGTTTGATCAGGGAATATGGCCCCAAGAATACTTCCGAATAAATGTCTAAATTGGTGAGAAGTTGGTGGACAGTTTCAACACCCTCAAGTGAAATACCGCCATTACATCGAAAATTGATCAACGAAGCTAGCAGCACATCCAATGTAGAACGGAATATTTATATCTCCAGGTGAAGGATGTGTCCCCCTACGGGGGAGAAATAATTTATCTGGACATTATATGCAGCTATCCTTCCGCTATGACTTCACTGTGATAATAGACGCCGCGAGAATTTGAGCGTAAATTAAATCAATGAACGTTGACTGCTACTCAAAAATGGTTCTCCACATATTTGGGCGGTTAGAGATAACTTTCACCTAATTGATTCAATATCGCAGTGTTGATGCCGATGTTCCATGGCGGAAAGAGATCATCTGTAGTCGTCGTGAAATAGATATAACACTCCAGAGTAGATAAAGCAATTGGGTGATGTTATTTTGCAACAGAATTCATTTACAGTGAACCTATAAGTCACAATTTTAGCTAATTTTTTTAGTCATAAGTTTCAAAACACGTGTACAAATGTAAAATGTGCGATAAATTTCAATAAATATTATTTAATTTCCCCTCCTTTCCAACACACATACACGTACACATATCCGTTTAAAAATGCTATAGGAGAGATCACTCTACTATTAGAACTGGTTTTTAAAATTGTTAGTGATTCGCCACTAAAGCTGTTGGAATGATTTATAGTACAACCTATTTTATTACGATGAATTCGAGTACGTTTTACAAGTTTCGACTCCTTGAAAAGAGGCAAAACAAATATCGTTATTTTGTACATTTTTAGGTCACGTACAGGTATGATTTTCCTTGCCCTTTTCAAATTATTGGTGATCAAAAGTGTCACAGGACAGAAAAATATCCAGAGTCAAATACCTGATATCTCCCATAAATCTATACTATTTCCGTTATAGCAAGTTATGCTCCAACCCTTTCTTTTGGCACCTTTCTCCCCGTAACTTTTCACAGACTGGTACCCATGTCTGTATCACCATTAATACGCCTTTAATGGACCGCGTAAAGCACCAACCGATTCCATACCATCGTTCAATATGTGCATTCTTATCAGTGCCGGATTACCAAATAGACATCAGACTATGGGTCCCACGCCTTTTGTTGGTTGGTAAAATTAAAAAAAAACAAAACGTTTTAGGAGATAATTTGCTTTGCGGGTGTGTGTGTGTTAACCTACCTAGGATGCCTAGGGACCTATACATGGTTTAATCCGGCACTGGTGCTGATACTCCTTCCTAACCACCCCAAACTATTCGTAAGCTACTCTCAAAATTCTCCCCTGTATAATTAGGTCACTGTGGCGGCGCCTCAGTAGCACGTGTTTCTATTTGGACATGCTTAATAGCCAGAAATTGGAGGAAATGTGCACAGGTGAACGAACATTACTGCAAATGGTTGATAGTAGAAGAAATAAATAAACAAACTGCAGGCAAAATAATGACCGCAAAGGAGCTTTAAGAAAGACAAATTAATTTTTAATAGGAATGGGACTTTAAGTAAACATTTATATTATTCTATTAATGCGTTTTGTGCGTGTTAATATACGGAAGCGGAATAAGAAAATTGTCTGAGTTATACAAGATAATTAATTTAATTATATAAACATTTCCTTGTAAAGTAACGGAGCAATAAGATGCTAAATGGGGCGTGGGAGTAAGGTAAATAATTTGTCGTTCATTCTTACATACGTCCATCACGGATCAAAGAAACAAATCCATTACTTAACAGCATTAAACATTATATATTATAAGTATAATTGAAGCATTCAAAGAAAGAAAGAACGACGTTATTAGTGAAGGCATTTTGAATCTTCTACCCTTCAACTTTAAATACATTTGACAATTTACCGATTGTAATTTATAATATTTAAAATATTTCTGCTTAATAATGCTAAACATTATTTTCCATGTACTACTTAAATTTATTTTATGTCCTTTTTCGCTCATTTTATTTGATCAGTTATGTTGAATTGATTGTTTAAAATTTTCCTTAACGTTGATTTATTATCTGTAGTATATCTGGATTAGGCATAGTGTCTTAAGTATGGCAGTTATTATTATTATTATTATCATTATCATTATTATTATTATTATTATTATTATTATTATTATTATTATTATTATTATTATTATTATTATTAAATGGTTTCTACTGATAATTATAAATAATACGAACGAAGTACGTAGCTTTTATATTTTTATTAATTCCAATAAAGAAAGAAATATATCGTTAACTGAAAACACACATATCGGTGCTTTTCGGAATTGTACGACCGTGCGACCCCTTTTCCCCCATTAATAATCTCTCTCTCTCTCTTTATATATATATATATATATATATATATATATATATATATATATATATATATATATATATATATATATATATATATATATATATATATATATATATATATAGTTTTCCAATTACTTTACCTTCACATTCA